TAACAATAATTCGCTTCGCTCCAATAAACAGTACTTATAATATAGTGTGAAGTTATCAGCACTTGGTATAATATTGTATCCAATTTACTCAATAACATTAGAAACAAAAATATATGTTACAGGGTATAGACAATCAAAACGGAGTGACAATAAAGTCAACAATGTACAAAAAGTGTAAAATGATAATGTTAGTGACTAAAATTACAACATAACTGAAATATTGTCACGTCAAATTACAAATAGGAGAAGATAAAAGAGCCATTTATTTCGTTAATTTCACAGTAATTTATAGGTTTCACTATCTTAACACTATCTTAATTAAATAGAATGCAGGCAAAATAAGGTGTCGTTGAGTATTTCACTTGATTGTGAGAGCATATTAATTTCTAGTCCTATCTGTCAAGATGAATGCGGAGAGTTGTGAACAAATGAGTGTTGAGTGTCAGCCAATATGGATTCAGACTACTTCTAACATGAGCTCAGGCTTCTGGCAACCATAATTGCAACTAGTTGACTAAATGGTGCACCACTTAGTGCCCTATTGACAACCAACTTCGTACTATGATATGGTCTTTTTTGAGTAGTTCAGGAATGAATAAAGGGGAGCATTTTGGCCTACTACTGTAACCAATCCTTCTAAGACAAATTCTAGTGAAGTGCAAGTTTCAAAGTTGTGGAATTACACCTTATGTGGTGGTGAACAAAATAGTTGTTTTCAAAATATTACCAATTTAAATAGGACTGTTTCGCTCTGTGATAAATCTAACAAATAAATGAACATGCAAACTTGATTTCTCTACATGTTGATTTTCGTATGCTGTCACGAATTTCTAAAATCTTCCTAACGAGTGTACTGTCACATATTTCATCTTCTTCATATCAGATACTCAATCATAAAATTACAGTTTTTCACCATAGTTCCCTCTAATACAAATATTATTATTTACAGTTCACATAAAGTATCCGAATTTCGGTTGTTTCCTCAGAGTTTTACGTTATGTCACATACTTCACAGCGGACACATACAGTTGTGTAACAAAACAGGATTTAATAAAAAGGATGACTAGGAAATATGTGTGTACTACTATGTCACATGGATATAGCTTTCGTCGACGCTCTAAATAGAAGATTTTCGTCGCCTTAAATGATTGGGGTTGAGTAAACAGTATTAGAGGTTTGTTTCAAGATTAACTTATGTTGAGAATTATGCTAGACCTAAGTGTTAAGTCTGTGGTGATGTATCAGTTCCTACTACGGACGCTTCAAAAATGTCTAGGAATTGATATGACACTATTTCGGTTGATAGTAAGTAGGGGTGGAATAAAAAAGAGCAGTTTATTTAAGTTCTAGTGACCAAGTAGATAATGCTTTGTCTTTTGAAACGACAGGTGGAAACACCATCACTCACTGATGACAGCAGCTTCATCCCCCTGATGACTCCTAAGTAGGATGAAGTGCTCATCTTGGATTCCTGTACTAATCACCCAGCGAATCAGTATCATAGACTTTTGGCTGAAAGTGACTTATACCAGTCTGAAGTAATATTTAGTCCCTAATTTCCACCTTTAAACGCTTTTTATGATATAAAAAGTCAGCCCAAAATCGACTTTTTAATATGATGACATCAATCTATCCACGAAATCACCAACCAACCGACTAATGACGGTTAAATTCGACTCCCGGTCCATGTACTTCTAAACCTCGCTTAGGCGGTGGTAGTTCCAGTAAAGAGGTAAGCCTGGGTATAAGTCTAACTATCCAATCTCTTAATAACAAAACTATGGCTACTGAAACATCAAAGTTCAAGAGTGAAGCCTTATGTCTTACTCTTAGTGAGAAGAAATGGGCATTATAGAGTGATGACTGGAAGAATATTCAGCGCTGAAAGTATGTAGAATGCTACTGTTTATTTTATTTTTTTATTTTGATTACAGCTTGATGCCACACCGTAATTTTGGTACAAGTATGGAATTTTCAGCATGGATATCGGTAGCCTAAATTTTGCAAGCCGACCATAGATATCAGGTGTGCGTTGGCAGGGGATCTAACCCTGGACTATATGCATAGTCGGCGAGAGTCCTAACCACTGTGCCACCGACGCACACAAGAACTAAGAATTTAAATAATAAAAATTCGGAAACAATTATTCCAGTGGAATTGAAAGGTGGATCAAAATACTGGATAAAACCAATCAACCAAAGCCTTGACTAGATTTCAGTTAGATGAATTTGCTCTACTAACTCCAATATATGCTGATTAAGCGTTGAGATTTAAGTATTGTTTAACCTTTTATGTCTCTTCAAATGCTGTGTTCCATTTCCTGTTGATTTAGGAATTTTCTCATATTTCACATTAGATGACTGACCCCCTGAGGTACTTTTAATAAGAACAACAGATTCTCAAAGTTGGTAGCGTGGCTGTAGTTTGCCAGATATCCACCCCATTTTCAGATACCTCATCTTGAATGAAACATCCATAAAATTAGTCAGGAATTTCCTAAACCTTCTTAAATTCAAAATTATTGAAATTTGTGTGAAACGATAATTTAATACAAATTAATTAACCATCTCAGCAAACAAAATAAATGCAACTACTTAAAACTGAATTCATCTAGTTGATATCTTTTTAGAATGCTTATCATCTTTACGGTATTTTTAACTCTGGTTGAAATTAACTGTACCATTTGGCACACTTATGCACGAAGTCTGTCTAATATTCATTTTGAAAAAGGACATTTTCTTATTTTGTTGGTAAGACGACTAACAGAAACTTTGTTGCTTTCGTGGAGAAGTGCACTTAGTAACTCAGTGGCAACATTATATACATAGCTCACATCTAGATATGACTTAATTAATTAGATTTTTGAATGTCTGTAGAGCTCTGATTGCGATTTGAAAATAAAAAGGAGGCCGATAAATCTCTTACATTATAGAAAAGTTCTTCTGTATGTGACATAAACATAGCAAACTGATTTGGCTTCAACAAAAAATGTAAATAAAATTGCGTTTCTCTAAAAGTCAGCATAATCATAATCAGAACCTCAAGATAAGCCTTTGTTCACGCAGAATTTTCAAACCTGCATTCAGGAGTGCTAATTTTGATTTCGAGTTTTGAAAAGTAATTCACGCTGTTAATTAAAACTTTTTATAGGACAGTTGTTTTCATTCATTGTGAAGACATACATATATACTGGATGAAACTTCTCCATCTATTCACTTCAGTTAATTGAATGCGATTACCTTAGTATATTTTGGAATTTATCAGGTATACCTGCAGTTTGTTGCAGATACATATTTAAGGCTAGTATAATGGGTTATGAATTTAAAAAGAGATGATTATTTTGATAGGCACTATTTTATTAACACCTGATACTGTCGCGATACTTTAATTTTTCCTTTATATTCATACGCTGCTGTAGCATGTTGGTACATATCAATAAGTCAACAGGCCCTTTAAAATACTGAAAGTTTTAAAGCATGATGGCGTCAAATTGTTTCAGACTATAAACATTTAAGACCAAGAGAAAAAACATTCTCATTTCTGTAGCAGCGTATAAAAATTGGTGAACTCATAATAATAATCTTGGTAAAAGTTTGTAAGGTGAGAAACTGATATTCCAGTTAAGCAGTAAAATAACATATACTGCATAACTAATAGTGGAATAAAGTGTTTCTTACACCTAAATCCCTCACAATTTAGTGGAGCTTTATATAGAAAAACGAGGAAGCACAAATGTTACACTATTAAGTGTTTATGTCTGATGGCAGTTCATACACCAATTTATGAAAAGTATAGTGATTGTCATAAAAAGTAAAACCGATCTAGTAAGCAAAATAACTCAGCACATAATCTTATGAAAGTATCGGTCAGGTCATATCTAACAGGATTGGACATTCGATTTCAAAACAGGGATTAAGGACCGAAACTTCAGCTCAGCTGCCGAAGTATCGGGGGCTGAGATTATATAAAGTAATTAGTGTGGCTCATTGCAAAGTTTATCTATACTTCTGGTGTGTAGGGTGACGCACAGTATTTATGATCATGACGAAATATTTATAAAGTTATTTGGTTGCTTATTCCGAATTCATGACATTTATTAATGACTCAAAATCACAGTCACTGGCTAATTTTTGAATATAATTGAAACCATTTATTGTAGCAACATATGAGGAAAATCTCATTGAAAGCGAAATTCTACACCTTTTTAATTTTAGCCACTTTTCAGCCTGAAAGCAGAAATACTAAATACAGTAAAACATTTCTAGTGTAGTGTATAACAGTAAATCCTGGTGGAAGAAAACAGTACTAGCAGAAGTACTCCTTTTTCGTAAGTCTTAAACCACACAAAACCGTAAAGCATTCATACAAATGCAAGCAAACCAACAACAAGCACAAGTTTTGATAAAAAGCCCTCCATAAAGTGTAAATGCCATCAAATCAAAATAAGGCTTTATGCGTGATCGAAGTCAAAATTAAATAACCCCGATTACCACCACAAAATAAAACGTCAGTTGCTTTGGTTTTATCGTATACTAAGAAAACATGACTTTACCAAGTACCACTGAATCATTGTAAACCGTGAGCGGACTTCTGTTTCAGTTGTTTGATAATTAAACTGATGTTTTTTATGAGCAGTCAGTACTAAGCCCGCTTAACTGAGACTATTACGCACTTAGCACTGCTGTATAATTTTTCAAGCTTTATATGACACTTTCCAAAGTGTAAATAATGTAAAATAAAAACCTGAACATTTAATGATTGTGCAAATAAATGGGCACTTTAGTGGCATTATCACTTATACTTTCAGATACTGGCACACTTGTGTGAGAAACGATCACATTAAATCTGTTTTATACCAGCATACAACTCGGATCTTAAAACAAAAGAGGTATAAGTCCTACAGACAAATTGATATTCACTTCTATATCTATCTGTATAGCTCTGAGTTACAGTCAAGTTAATATATCATGAGAAAGATAGGTTGGTGAATAATTAATTACCTTGGAAATCTACAATCACATATGGATCACTTTTTCCCGATATTTCCTTGTTTTTCAGATGATTGGCTTTCTTTACTTTCACATGGAGCGCATACATGTTTCACTAACCAAAAGTGACACCAAACCAAATATGACCTACACAAATCTTTTGACTGACTTAAACACATTACACTCACCACCCAATACTTATCATAGTGAGTGACGATACTAAAAGACTTCCAACCCTTCAGTTCTAAATACAAGACCGTTATAAAACAGTAGTAAATAGTAGCTTCATTTCAAACATTAACTATATCCACTTCCAATATCCAATATCGTTTTTACGAGCTAGTATAAACCAATTTGATTTCTTTGTGCTCGCTTCTTGATTGTGAGGTATAGGTTCTTGATCTTCGGTAAACTTCTGCGTAGCTTGTCCCGCCACTCGACTGTCGTAGCTTTGGTTGACTCCAAAGGGAGTAGTGCTGGGATTAATTATATGTGGTTTGTAGTATGAGGTATGTTAAGACTGTTACTACTGTGATTGGAGTTGATCCTTTCGCCAGTTAGTCCTTCGGTATTGTCGACAAGAGAAAAGAGATAGTAATAATAATAATAATAGTAATAATAATAATAATAATAGATATAATTAGTGAAGCTATTCAGACTAAGAGACAGAAACGAAAATAGGAAACGTAACAACAGTCAGCTCATGAAGTTTGAAGAATAATATATATATCGGTAATAGTAATAATAATAATAATAGTAATTATAATATTAATAAGTTGTCAGGAGAGTAAGACGGGAGAGAATGTAAAGAAGTAAAATGACGAGTTTAATTATCTACCCTGATTGGTAAATGCGATTTTAAGGAGATAGGCCATTTGGATGCAGTCCTTGTATCGCTGCATGGTTGTCCAGCCTTCGCTTAAAGGCGTCCAAAGACGGTGCCATAGCTACATCTGCCGGTAAGGAATTCCAGGGACGACAAACCCGCAGTGAAAAGAAGTGGGAGCGCACCCGGGTCCTTGCCCTCTGGTGAGCTATCCTTCTGGGATTTCCACGTGGAAGCCTATACCTACTCAATGGCAGAACACCTTTGTTTGGGTGATTCTGGTCATTTGTTATTTTGTAGGCAGTAATCAAATCCCCCCTAAGCCGACGGTAACTAAGTGTGAACAGGCCTAATTTCTTCAGCCTTTCATCATATGGTTTGTTTCGGAGACCAACCACTCCTTTTGTTGCCCGTCGTTGGACTCTTTCCAAGAGGTTGGCATCTCTTCTCAGCATTGGGGGTGCAATAATATTATGCACCTCAAGGTGTGGCCTGACGTATGTTTTGTACAACATTAGAAAGAGCTCAGGAGTGAGTGCACCTAACTGTCTATGCGTAAAGTGTATGACCGCATATGCCCTCGCTACATCCCCTGTGTAATTTACGCTTGTGTCCATTTTTTCCGTTAGAACTAGACCTAAGTCGCGTTCCGACGTTGTGCAGGACAAGCTTTCATTGCACAGGGTGTAACTTGCATTCTGCAGTCTACAGGTGCGCAACTTCACTACTTTGCACTTTTTCAAGTTGAAAGTCATGCCACTGGCCACCGCCCAGTCTTCCAGAAGGTTTAGGTCTTCCTGTAGCCTATCTGAGTCCTCCGGACACTTTATCGCCCTCCATATTTTTACGTCGTCAGCGTACAGGAGAGTCGGGCAGCTCAGACGGCGTGGTAGATCATTGATGAAAATCAAAAACATCAGTGGTCCTAGGATAGAACCCTGCGACACTCCTGATGACGATCTGTGCCAAGATGATCGGACTCGGTTAACCTTAGTGCAAAATTGCCTGTCGGCTAGGTAGTCCTTCAACCATGACAGAAGTGGCTCACCTATGCCTGCCTGTCTTATTTTATGTAGGAGAAGGTCATGGTGAACAGTGTCAAATGCCTTCTCAAAGTCTAGGAAGACCACATGGACTGGTACGTTCAAGTCCCAGCATGATGTCCAGTCGTCCCAAGCTGACAGTAGGTTAGTGACGCAGGATCTGCCTTTTCTGAAACCATGTTGGGCTTCATGCAGTATATTAGTCCTATCGAAATATTCCCTGATGTGGTCGTCAATAATACTTTCCAGTACTTTTGATACCACTGGGAGTAGAGCTACTGGTCTATAGCTAGCAGCGTTTTGCCTGTCCCCACCCTTGAAGATTGGAGAAAGGATGGCTCTTTTCCACTCCCTTGGCAGGGTCCCCGAATCCATTGAGTGTTGGAACAAGTCGCACAGGGGTCTACAGAGAGCCTCGGCGCACTGTTTCAGAACAGATGGCCTGATGTCATCACAACCTGGGGACTTCCCAGGTATGAGTCGCTGTAGCTTCCTTAGTACTATTGCGGGGTTTATTTGGGGAGTAGTCGCTAGGTCTTCCTCCTCTGAAATAGTGGTGCCACCATTTTGGTCCGTAACTGTAATATCCACATTGCTGTTTAGCTGTTTAGCGAAGGCTGAACTGAATGTTTCAGCCATCTCCAGACTAGTGAGATATTGACCGTTTGGGCCTACTAAGGCGCATGCCCCTTGGTTTGTCGGTTTTCTTTCCGACATGAATCGGTACAAGTTTTTAGGGTTTGATAGGAGTTTTTTAGCAAGGTTAGCCTGGAATGACCTTCTGTCCCTCCTAACTCTTGCATTACACCGGTTCCTGAGTTCGAGGTATGCATCATGGTCGGTCTGACTCTTAGATACACGCCACGTAAACCAAGCCCTCCGCTTTGCTTGCAGAATACGTTGCGTGCCTCTCTTCAACCATGACGTCTTTCTCTTAGGCTGTGTTGTGACTAAAGGGACGGTATCCGAGATTGCTGCATGGATAATCTTTTTTACCACTTCCCAGTGTTCATCCACAGATAGGTCGTCCCATGCTAAGGGCCAGTCTGCGTCGGACAAGAGCCTCCGCATTTCAGCATAGTCAGCCTTGCTGTAGCACAGACATGGTCGCGTAACATCCCATTGCAAACGCTCACGGAGGACAAGATCGAAACCTATGACTGCATGGTCACTGCTTCCCAGAGGAGTCATGATCTGGACCTTTTCGACGAGTAGCTGGTCACTAGTTAGAATATAATCTAGTTTTGATGACTTTCCACTAGGGCCCCACCTAGTGTCGTCTCCAACATTCTCAGTCAGTCCCGTGTTTCGAATAGTTTGCAGTAGGTTTCGGCCAAATTTTCCCTTAGCACACCCGGAGCCAAGGTTCAGTGATGGAGCATTGAAATCTCCAGCTATGGTGATTTGGTCGTAGCCCAAATCTCGTATTCCTGTGATAGTGCTGAGCAGTAGCTGATTGTGCTCTGCCCCACAGGTGGGAGATCGGTAGATGCCACCCAGTAAGTGCTTGGTGTGGCCTACGGTGAAATGACACCATATGGAGTCTGGGAGTTCGATAAGTGGTGGGTCCGTTGCGCGCACACATTTAAGTTGCCTATCAAAGTATATAGCAACTCCCCCTCCTTCCTTATTATCCCTGTCTCTCCTGACCAGTACCATATCACCTATACTGATTTCATTGTCGGCGATAGTGGGGTTTAGCCACGTTTCAGTAAGAATGATTATTTTCAGTTGAAGGTGTGCTTGGAGATTTCGGAGTTCACCTACTTTCCCTCTCAGCCCCCTCACATTGCTATATAGGCAACTGACAGTGAGTCTAACAACCTCAGAGTGTTGTGGGGTAGTTGACGTGAAACCGTCTGCTGGTGGGGGACTTGATGTTGGAACTAGTTGGCCGATTCCGATAGAACCGGCCCGTTGTAGTTTTTTTCAATGGATTTAGGCAGGACACTTGGGAGACACAGACTATTATTCTCAGAGCTGCATCGCTCTAGTGTCACCGAAGCTTGGGGTCGTATTAAAGCCTCAGTTTGCTGCCTCCTTATATTTCTGGGTCTGCTTTCACAGCATCGGATGTGTCCTCCAATTTTTCCCTTGGTCTCATACCACCGTTGAAGTGATATGGACAACTGCTCCGGGGAGTTGAATGTGACACACAGCAGCTTTGGAGAGTTAATCAATGTTAGATGAGCGGGACGAGGTAGTCGGAAAATGGAGATGGCTCCAGAAGCGCCAGGGGCCATCTGAGATGACAGCCATCTCCATTGTTGTACGTCGTGCATGTGTTTTTCACAAGCAGTGCCGGTTTCCAGCTCCGGAACACCGTGTACCACCATAGAGGTGGAAGGCATCAGTTCCGGTGACTCCCTCGCCATATTTCTGACGGCCCATGGTCTATCTTGCCGCGCTCTTATGTTAGAACTTCTGTCCAGGGCTAGTACCTGAGCCATTAACAGTACTTTTTCGGCCTCTTCGGCAGAGTCCAGTGTAACCCGTAATGGGGGTGGCTTACCCTGAGGCGTGTGGACACCCCTGTACAGTCTGCACAGTTTTGCTGAACTAATGTTCAGACCTAGTTTGCCACACAGGTTGGACCACTGTTCCTGATCAAACAGGGCCCGTTGTTCGAGCAAGCTATCCGTGCTCACAGGTACGTTAAAGAGGATGAGAGAGTTAGACCGACTACCCTCAGACTTAGGTTTTGCCTTCGGCTTCTTGCAGTCCTTTGCATCATTAGCAACATTAGGCTTCGTCGGTACCTGGACAGCCTTTTTTGTGTTGCCAGGCTTGCTAGTGGATGCAAGTGGTGCCTTTGTAATTTTGCCCTCCCCTGATGTGGATGGAACCTTGCTAATCTTCACCTTGTGAGAATTGGCATTTCCAGTCAGTAGGGCTGGTGTGTCCTTCTTTAAGTCTTTGACCAGTTTCGGCAGTGCGAGTTTAGCAGGGGGGAGCTGCATGATACTGTGTTGGGGCACAAGAGCATGTTATTTCTGCTATCCGCAGACACGCTTTGTGGGACTATGCCAGGGCGACAAAGTGGACACACGTACCAAAACCATGGGCATGGGTTATTTCTCATAAACTCATAGTATGCTTTCGGTACTTCTTTGTCACAACGGCAGTGCACCCATCGTTTGCAAAAATTACATTCAAACGCTGAATCAGTTTTAGAAACTGTGATGCTGCACGCCTGGCATTCATCCCCTTTCCTTGATGACGCCTTCGAGGTCTTATGACGTCTTGAACGTTTCCTTTTAGGCTTGATGTGTTTC